TTCTCTTCTCATCAGATGAAATGCATCATTTTCTGTTTTAAGATTTTGAGAAAACTCTACTGGAGTGATCTCTGTTACTGTACATGCATCTGGCCTTTTAGAGAAACTCAGAAAGATCTTTTAAAACATATTTGGTTACATTTTACTCCCTAAAACATTCTTAAACATGAATGCAAAAGTCCTGGGTATAAAATATCTAAACACAAGCTGAGTGACATTGTGTCTTTAGGTGAGTACTGTAAAGAATGTTCTGATTTCTGTTACAGCTGTTTTCTTATCTGGTCGGGCCTAATAATGACATGATAATGAACTGACAAGTGTTACACTCAGAACCTGAAGTGGTGGGCTAATGCTATCTGTAGAGGAGAATGAGAGGATGTCCGTTTCCGGACTAAAGCTGAGTTTGAGAGAGGTGGGCATCAGAACCAGTGAAGAGGATAGGTAGGATGGTGTAGGAGTCATCTGCTGATGGTCGCTTTAGTATGAAAGAATAATATTGTGATTGCAGAAGGCAGTAGATGTAAGAAAGGATGGAGGCCAGATGTGACAGGATGTTTCGACCCACAGAGAAAAGAGCTTTTATGCTATTTTCTTCAGCACTGATTGATCCTGGAATGTAGCAAATTCTTGCAAGAAGAACGTGTTTGTAGTGAAACAGGTGGTTATTGTGAATGGAAGAGTTGTAACAAAACTAAGCACTCTGTGCACATGTCATGATGTGGAGGTGAGTGAGATCAAAAGAGCCCACTGTAGGCAGCCATAGGAGTTGAGTAGGAGGCGTCAGCAGGGGTGACTCCAGGCCATGAGCTCAGTTCATGAGGCGAGGAGGCAGATCCCTTAGAGACCTGACCCACCATAAGACTGGAGGTGGTGTCAGGAGGAACTGCGCCTCCCCAGGAACGTTGTCAAGGAGGAGAAGCCTGGACCCTTGGCTGTCATGGTGTGGGACCCTTCTGACCCACCAGAGGGGAAGAAGAGGCGTCAGGAGGGGCTGCGCTGACCAACCCCCGGGGCACATAAAGCCAGCCGGGAGCCGATGAAGCGGGGCTTGTTCCAGAGCTCAGCCCAGCTGAACCAGCCAACAAGACCAGGACCTTCAGGCTGAAGCACAGGAGCAGGCTTACGGCGGCGAGGAGGACTACGGTGAGGTGGTGGTGGTGAGATGTGGTCCATCTGCCAGCCAAAGACCAAAGGTATTCCCCAGCACAGGACCAATGGTAAGCCTCCACCTTCTGGCGAATGCACCCTCATTTTGCCCAGAACTCACCGATGGATCTTAAGTGGTTGGATCGTTCTGTCATGATGTGGAATGATCGATCATGGTGTTTTATTTAGAAATGTTTCTTTTATTTTGTTAAATTTACCGGCCTGTCTCTTCTGTTTTGGTTTGACTTCCTGCCAGAATTGACGCGGCTCACATCTAATGTGACTGAGAGCGTAGGTAAACAAGGGCGCCGATTAGAAGCACTCGTCGTTCCACGGCACTTTGCGGCGCATCGTCGCGGTTCCGCGTCTGGTGTCTTAAATTCAGTTCTCAGGAGACAATAGGAGAACCAAGGACATAAACGGGGTTCAAAAGCAGACGATCCGACAGCTAACACAAAAGCAAACAATGCTTAAACACATGAGGAGCAGGTAATACGGTAACGAGAGGCAGATGCAAACAATGAACTAATCAGACACAGGAAACACAGGGGAAGGACACATGAGCAGGGAACGGATTGTGACAGTACCCGCCCTTCAATGGGTGTCACTGGACACCCAAGAAATGAACCATCCCAAGGACGATTGCAGGGGGAACAAACCAACAGCAACCCACAATAGGCGGGCGGGAGATAGCCACCAGAAACACAAAATTCCTACATGTCTATGCAAAAAACAGTTACAAGGCAGCCCCAACATGCCTGGGAGGGCCGATGATGAGGAGCCAGGAGGTGGCAGGACCTGGAGGACCGGCAGCAAGGAGCCAAGAGATGACATTTCCCTGCCAGAAGTGGAACCCCAGGGGACATGAGCACAGGAAGCTCTGATGGAAGATTATTTGGATGGCAGGACATTCGAGACACTCAGGTGGTGGGACACCTGAAAGACTTGACCCCGGGACCCACGAATCCAGGTGGAGGCGTGACCACATCGGACAAAGCCACAGGAGAAGGTGGGGACACAGGAGACTCAAACTCAGGAGGAGGTGGGAACACCTCGAGCAGGAACCCCTCAGGAGTTGTAGCCTCTTGGACAGGCTGGACCTCGGGAGGAGCCTCTTTGAAATTGATTTTGTAGTTTACTGGTAACCAGCATAGAGATTTAAGACCAGGAGTGATATTCTCGCTTCCCTTGGTTCTTGTTAAGACTCTAGCAGCAGCATTCTGAATAAGCTGCAGTTGCTTCACAGCTTTTTAGAGGAGACAAGCCAAAGACCATTGCAACAGTCCAGTCTGCTGGAGATGAATGCATGAATGAGTTTCTCTAGGGGCTGCACAGTGGTGCAGTGGTTAGAGCTGTTGCCTTGTAGCAAGAAGGTCCTGGGATCTTTCTGCATGGAGTTTGCATGTTCTCCCTGTGCATGCATGGGTTCTCTCCGGTACTCCGGCTTCCTCCCACCATCCAAAAACATGACTGTTAGGTTTATTGGTCTGTCCAAATTCTCCTTAGGTGTGAGTGTGTGTATGTGTGTGTGTGATTGTTTGTCCTGTGTGTCTGTGTTGCCCTGCGATGGACTGGCTCTCTGTCCAGGGTAAACCCCGCCTGATTGCCCGTTGACCGCTGGAGATAGGCAATGTGACCAGTGACACGCAGATCTGAATCAATTATGACATCAAGATTTCTAACCTGGGTCTTTTATTCCTCCAGCACACAATAGCCTCCATCCTATCCTCATTTCCAAAGACAATAACTTCAGTCTCGTCTTTGTTTAACTGAAGGAAGTTTGACTGCATCCAGTCATTAAGGGGTTATCGTGTTACAATTTCCAGAAGAAATACTTGAAAATCTTCAGCAAAGAAACATGGACGCGTAACAAGACTGATTTTTTTTTAACATGATATGCCGAAACAACAGATGGTGATACCCGAGAGCCAACTGGCTAATACTACATGACAACAAGCAAGGAGAAAGATGGCAGCATGTCTGTGGTTTTATGTTTGGATAGGATTGACTAAATAGTGTTTGTTGTTAGCCTCAAGGGCGACCTGTCGGCTTGATCACCACCTGTAAGTCGCTTTGGACAAAGGCGTCTGCTAAATACATAAACATTTTCTGTGACAGGGGTTTATGTCTATGTTTACTTATTTGGCAGACGCTTTTATCCAAGGTGACATACAATTGTTAACCTATAGGGCATGTTGTGATTTGTGGGGGGAACTGGAGAACCCGGAGGAAGCCCATGCATGCACTGCGAGGATATGCAACTCCACTCAGAAAGACCGCAGTTGGGTTTCAAACCTGCAACTTTCTTGCTGCGAGGCAACGGTGCTAACAACTGAGCCACCATGCAACCAGGAGGTTGTTACGGGTAATTCATTACAGTTCTTGTTAAGACGATTTTCAAATCTTAACAAGTATCTTTTGTTTAGAGAGCTACTGACTGCTGTGCATGGCTCCCTCGTTTGGTTTCATCACTGGCTTGATTTGAGCTGCTGAGCTGGACGTATTGTGGATGCATAAGGCAGAAAAAACTGACCCAGGGCATACATTCAGTGGAGCGCAGTTTTGGTTTTTTGGTCCGTGATCCGGTCCACGGCTGGCTGCAGCTTGGTGGGAACCGACCCGAGCCTTCCAGGATCTTATCTTCACAGGGGAGGGATACTCAGAGAACATTTTAACTTTTTCAATTACGGCAACACACTTTAACTTGAACATAGCAGCACTTTGATAAAAACAATGAAGCAGTGGTTCAGTTTAACCCTCCCACTGTCCCAATGGGTGTGACCCCGCGAGGAAAGTTGACCATTGAGCAGGGTTGATGGTTTATCCCTTGGGTCCATGTGGCAGGGGTGAGGAGTGAGCACCACCTCACCCCTGCCACGTGGACCTCAAGGGATAAACCATCAATCCTGCTCAACGGTCAACTTTCCTCGCGGGGTCACCCATAAAGACAGTGGGAGGGTTAAACTTGGTTTCTAAATGAAAAGCAGAGGAAAATGGTACAAGCACAAGAACACAAAAACAGACCTGGACTCTGGCTTGTCTCCAAAAAGTAACCAGAGATTTAGCTGACATAATCTAATATTGGCTATCACTTTCTGGGTTGCCACCACTTTTATTGTTGGCATCTTTCTACTGTATGAAAACCAGGAAACTACAGCAGCCTGTGTGTTTAGGACGGGACTGCATGCCAGGTCCTATTCTAACTGAATCCTGTGAGGCCTTGGGTTTTTTCACCTACATAGATAGGGATTGTGGAAGTAGACAAAAAATCCCAGCCAGTTTAAACCAGATTGTATTTCAAAGGTCAGCTAGAAACTGGATCGAAGTGACCTTTTTCAGTTAACCCTCAAATAATCCAACAGCAGGGATGAAAGCTCCTCCATTAGGGTTGTTTGCCAACTCCTAAAAATGTGATGAAAATATAAATAGTAAAACACAGCATAAGCTTTCATTAAAGGGGATTTCACAGCACAAGCTGAACAAAGGCCAGTTGAAACCAAACCCAGTTCCTGATTAAACAACATGATACTGTGAAGGATTGCACAAGAATGGATTTATGAGTCGATATCAGATCCTAAGATTTCACAGGTAACCTATCGAGCTCATCAGAATGAAAATGAAACATCGTCAGCTAACTAAAAATCGTCCTAAATAAAATGTGTTACATTTTTTGTTTAATTAAGAAACATCAACACTGATCTACTGATTAAAACACCAGATTTTAGAGATGGATCCTTCTGTCAGAGTGCTGACATTAACAGTAAATGCTTATTGTGAAGATTGGCAGCGTTCTTCTTTATTCTGATCATGATACGATGAAAGATCGTGTGTGGGCGGAGTTTGTGGTTGGGCTATAAAATCCTTAGTTTTTCTTCAGCTTCATCATCCACACTTCTCTCTGCGATCTAATCATGGACGGACGCCTGGACACCAGTAAGTACCAGTCTGTTTTCATGTGTTAAAATTACAAATCCAGACACAGCAAATAAATAATTTAACAGAAACAGAAAACTGCAGATTCTTAGGAAATTCCTACCTAACCCCTTGTAGCCTGTTATTCATGCCTTTGTTACATCTCGTCTAGACAACGCAAACTGAGTTCTCATTGGCACTTCTGTTTTGGCCCCGAGTCGCCTTCAGATTATTCAGAATTCCCCCCATTGGCTTCCTGTAGTCTTTAGAGTGAGGTTTAAAGTACTGCTTTTGGGGTTTAAGACTTCGAATGGTCTTACACCCTCCTATCTATTGGACCTGCTCACTCCACATGTACCCATACGCTCATTGAGGTTGATTGGGCACTTGATACTCTGTGCACTGAACATAAATTGTAAAGCAAGGGAGGAGCAGGTTTTCGAGCATGCCACCACTGTGCTCTGGAAAACACTTCCCCTCTCAGTTAAACATGCATTGTACAATACATGTTAAAAATCATGCTTCAGACCCGTTTCTATGACTGGCCAGTGACTTTCTTTTATACTGTGTTTATAGTTGTAATTATTGACTGTTTTCATCTGTTTTGTCATATTGTTTTATTGTTTTTATGACATTGTCATGTGCAGTACTTTGGTCTGGTCCCATGCCATTTTTATACCTGCTATAGAAATAAGATGGTGGGGTAAGATAAACCTCCGCATTCTGACTCAAAATATTTTTACAGGATCCACACTGACGAATAACAAGGAGCTGAGAATCGTCCTGGTGGGAAAGACTGGAATTGGGAAGAGTGCAACTGGAAACACCATCCTGGGTCAAAAGTCCTTTGAGTCCAAATGCCGTCCCATGTCTCTCACTGTAGACTGTGCAAAAGGAAGAACTGAAGTGGACGGACAAAAGATTGCTGTTATCGACACTCCAGGTCTGTTTGACACCAGGTTTGATGAGGAGCGGACAAAAAAGGATCTGGGTCAGTGCATCTCCTTTTCTTCTCCTGGACCCCACATCTTCCTGGTGGTCATCTCTCTGAGCAGGTTCACTGATGAAGAAAAGAAAACGGTGCAAATGATTCAAGAAATCTTTGGTGATGCTGCAGACAAATACAGCATGGTCCTCTTCACTCACGGAGACAACCTTGAAGACACCACTATTGAAGAATACATGGAAAACTGTCCAGATCTACAGGAACTCGTGTCCAGATGCAACGGTCAGTATCACGTCTTCAATAATAAACTAATGGACAAGAAGCCTCAGGTCATCGAGCTGCTGCAGAAGATCAGAAACATAGTTCAGAAGAACGGAGGAAGCCACTACACCAGCGAGATGTTCCAGGAGGCTGAGAGGCAGATTGAAGAGGAGAAACAACGTATCCTAATGGAGCAGGAGGAGCGAATACGCAGAGAGAGAGAAGAATTAGAGAGAACAATAAAGGAAGAGTATGAAAAGGAGAAGCAGAAAATCAATGAACAACTCCTGGCTGAGAAAGAGAAGACTGAGAAGTTGAAAATGTTAAACGAACAGAGAGAGAGAGAACTCAGAGAGCAAACGGAAAGGCTGATTGCTCAGAAAAGCGAAGAAGCTAGAAGGGAAGCGGAGCGTCGTCGTGCCCCAAAACGCTGTTGCATTCTGTAGTCAGCTCCATTTCAGATCATTTCACAGACCTTCCTTTCTGTTGTGTGGTTAGGGTTAGGGTGGTTCTGTTTCATTCTGACTTCATCAGCTGATTCCTGTTGTTACACTCTGTTTTTCTTTAGTCAGACCTGAGTCTTTCTGTGATTTCTGAACTTGTTGTTGTTTATTGACCTCTGTAATGCTGTCAAGCTAAATCATCTAGAAAATCAGTTAAACATTAACGGAGCTGCGACCCCCGGAGATTATTCCTGTTGTTAAAATCTGTCACCTGCCCTAAATTGAAACAAATAAAGTCACACAGAACTACTTGGATTTATCTTTTTGTATATTTCTGAGGTTTAGTTTTTCAAGAGGAATTCTGGTTGACAATAAATTGGAATTTTATACTGAAAAGAATTTATCCAGTCTAGAACCAGAATCCCAGCACTTCAGCACTCCAGAGTCAACACCTAAAAGGGTAAAAAAAAAACAGAAATAAAGAGATGCATCATTGTCTTTTTGCACACTTAAATTATAACCTGTTTTGCAGTTATCACATAAGTGTACTCCATCCAGTAAAGCAATTTTTCATCCACAAAAATTGTTTAATTTTAGATGGACTGTTTGAGGCACACACAATACCTAAAACTCCTAAAACCAGACACAAGCAGAAAACAGACGGACATTTGAGTCTAACTTGTGTCTCCCACAGCTTAAACATCAAAGCTGTTAGCCACACCTTTCTGAGTGCTTTACTATATTTTATTTCACATATCAGCAATAAAATAAAAATGAAATAAAATTTCATAGCAATAGTTCATGACAACAGATAGATGAGACATGGACATTTTATTAAAATTTGCTCCTGTCCTTTTAACTTCTACACCAGGCAGAGCAACAAAAATGTTTTGTTTTTGCATTATTTGATCTAAAAAGGCTCATAATTTAATGTAAAATAATAACATTATGTACATATTATTAATATAGAGGCAATGGAATATATAATAATAGTTTAGTTTTTCTTTCCCTCAATTTTGTTTAGTAGTTTTTACATTAAACTCATTTTGATGAGGGACTAAAATGTGCTCTCTTAATTTGCAGGTTCAATGCTTAAAGGCAAAAGTTACAATAATAACATTTTAATACACAAATTAATGTGTGTATAGTGCTGCGAGAAACAAAACAAACACTTGAAGTTTTTTTTACAGTTAGAATGTCTTCTAGGGTTGCGACCCAGAAGCTATGGCTCCTGTGGCTCATCGCTCACATTGCTGGGGTCTTCCTGAATTGTGCTGCATATCATCCACTGCTTGACGTAGCTCGAGTTTTTGTGCTGCTGAAACGAGTCCATCTGCTGAGCCTGGTTTGAGTCCAAGGCTCCAGGGCTGCTGCACTCTCCATAACCACTGTCAATGGTGTCCAAGTCCACACGAGGGTAGCCATCCTCCGACTGTTCGTTTGATTCAAACGAGTCCAGCGACGCCCTCTCTGCTTCGTTAAACTGGACTTCTTCTTCATAGTTTATGTTTTCCATTAATAAATCATTGGCTATTTGGTTTTCCCGCTGTAGTGAAAACCCACTCTGTCTGTTCCTCCTAGACACAGACAAGTCCTCTAAATCATACCCTGCATGTTCTCTGTCAGCTTCTGCAAAAGACCCAAAGCTTTCTCCATCTTGGTAACTTTCAAGCGAGCTCTGGGATGCGAGCTCTCCTCCGGACAGGGTCACGGTTTGTATGGAGATGCGTCCGGTGGAGTTTCCGGTGCTCTGGGAGCCGCTGCTGTCCTGGAGCAGGTTGCCTGAAGCCTGCAGCACGTGGAGGAAGGCACCACCTTCTTTCATCTCGTCCACGTCGTAGCTTTGCTTCTCAATGTTCCAGTGAAGCAGGCTGTCTGGCTTCTCACCCATCAACATGCTGGTGTTGATCATGAGGCAATCAAACTCAGTAAACACAGGCTTCACCCACTCCTGTAACAAAACAAAGAGGAATGTTCATTTATAATAATGCACATCTTTAATTGTGAGATATTTATAGTTTTCATCAAATATTGAACTGATTTTAGGTTTTTGTTGTTTAGCCTCTCTGTTACTTCACATACAAGAACTACTTTCTTAGTAAATCCACCTCCTAAAGTCTTGTACTCTACAGTCGCTGTCATGCAGACGTTGCCCAACCTAACCTGTCATTTCTAAAGATCTAATCATTGTATCGACACAAATCTCAGCTCACAGCTCTGAAATTCTTAGAATTCCACTTTCAGTTTCTCTATGACTGAACTAAATGTCATCTGAGTCACTTGATCAACCTCTTTGTATGGTTTCTTAACCTGACAAATAAATCCTGAGATAAACGTTTTAATCCGTGACACATCAGCAGGTCTTCTGTCAGCGGCATCAGTGAAAACAGTGCAGAAAACTGGTGCACCAACACATCACACCCATTTACCTTCACTCCACAGCGACCTGTTTCTAATGCAGAGTTAAGGCTGAAATTCTACATTTATGTTCAACTTTGCAGTAAAAAAATGACTACTATAAAAATGTGTGAAAGTTCAATAAATAAACCATATTCAAGGACAAATGACAACTATGAATGAAACACAACTTTAAAACCTGCCAAATCTTCATTTTGATGCTGGTGTCGGACTTTTGGGGCCTGAGGAAACAAACAGTTTTGACACCAGAGATGCCATATACCCGAATACAGCTCTCATAATGACCACAGAGATTCTAATACATTAAAATATATGTCTTCAGTTCTACAGCAGATATTCAATCAAATCAGAGAACTGGTTCAAACTTACAAATTCCTCCTATTTTGTTAATTTCTCTAAATGAATAAGGAAATAACTACAATCTTAAACTTTTTTTTGTCCTTTTTAAAGTCTTTAATGTGTCTACATTATTTATTGCCATTTCTGCGCTTTTAATTATTTATTTTTCCCTAAGAAAGGCGCTTCCTAAATGAACTTTACCAGCTCCCCTTTCATAGTTCAGCAGCGCTCTCTTCTGTATGATTATGGTAAGTGCACCAACAGGCATCAACAGGCATCGCTGTATGATTGTTTGTATAATTTAGTAAAAAAAAAAAATGAGTTAAAAGAATAAAATAAACTCAGGGGAAGCATGGAGGCACACTTCAGGGCACATAGCTCCTCCAGAGTGGGAGGGTTGCAGGTTTGAATCCTGCCTTCAGGCTTTCTGAATAGAGTTAAGATTTCTTCCATGTGTGGGTTTTCTCCAGGTGCTCTGGTTTCCTCCCACAGACCACAAACGTGCATGTCAGATTTATCAGAGACTCTAAATCAGTGAGTGGTTTGGGTGTCCCCCTGCCTCCCACCTGGTGAATAGATACCAGTGACTATTACATCTGAAAAAAAAAAAATCCCAACAAGTTCGGCAAAAAGCTTATTTATGATTCATCAACGAAAATGTAGAAGCAGCACAGAGAAAAGAAACATTTCTCAACTTTAGAATGATCCATCCATCCATTTTTTTTTTCATTTTCATCCGCTTATCCGGAGTTGGGTCGCGAGGGCAGTAGCCTAAGTCGAGAGGCCCAGAATTCCGTCAACCCAGCCACTTGGTCCAGCTCCTCTGGGGAATCCCAAGGCGTTCCCTGGTCCGGTGAGAGACATAGACCCTCCACCGTGTCCTGGGTCTACCTTTAGGTCTCCTCCCGGTTGATCGTGCCAGGAAAACCTCACCAGGGAGGCGTCCAGGAGGCATCCTGACCAGACGCCCGAGCCACCTCAACTGGCTCCTCTCGATGTGGAGGAGCAGCAGGTCTACTCCGAGCCCCTCCCGGATGACTGAGCTTCTTACCCTATCTCTAAGGGAGAGCCCAGCCACTCTTCGAAGAAAACTCATTTTGGTCGCTTGTATCCACAATCTTGTTCTTTCGGTGACTACCCAAAGCTCATGACCATAGGTGAGGGTAGGAACGTAGATCGATCGCTAAATCGAGAGCTTCGCCTTCTGACTCAGCTCTCTCTTCACCACAACAGACCGGTACAAGACCCGCATCACTGCAGATGCAGCACCAATCCGCCTATCGATCTCACGCTCCAGTTTTCCCTCACTCGTGAACAAGACCCCGAGATACTTAAACTCCTCCACTTGGGGCAGGACCTTATCCCTGACCCGGAGAAGGCATTCTACCCTTTTCCGAATCAAGACCATGGTCTCAGATTTAGAGGAGCTGATTCTCATCCCAGCTGCTTCACACTCGGCTGCGAACCGCTCCAGCAAAAGCTGAAGATCACATTCTGATGAAGCCAGTAGGACCACATCATCTGCAAAAAGCAGAGACCTGATCCTCAAGCCACTAAAACGGATGCCCTCCACACCTTAGCTGCTCCTAGAAATCCTGTCCATAAAGGTTATGAACAGAATCGGTGACAAAGGGCAGCCATGGCAAAGTCCAACTCTCACTGGGAATGAGCCCGACCTACTGCCGGCAATGCGAACCAAGCTCTGACACGAGTCATACAGGGACCTAACAGCCCGTATCAGAGGGACTGGTACCCCATACTCCTGGAGTCCATGCGAGTCCTGGAGTCTGCTAAAATGAATGGGAAGATCACAACGCAGGGATGTCAAACGTGATGGATTATCTTGGTCTGATTTTGACGACAAACACACACACACCCAGGGCCCCCTGAGGGATGCGGTCAAACGCCTTCTCAAAATCTACAAAACACCTGTAGATTGGTTGGGCAAAGTCCCACGCACCCTCTAGGATCCCCCTAAGGGTATAGAGCTGGTCCAGTGTTGCACGGCCAGGATGAAAACCACGTTGCTCCTCCTGAATCTGAGGTTCAACAATCCGACGGACCCTCCTCTCTGGAACCCCTGAATAGACCTTACCAGGAAGGCTCAGGAGTGTGATCCCCCTGTAGTTGGAACACACCCTGCGGTCCCCCTTTTTAAATAAGGGAACCACCACCCCGGTCTTCCAGTCCGGTAGGAATGCCCCCGATGTCCACGGATATTGCAGAGCCATGTCAGCCAACACAGCCCCACAACATCCAGAGCCTTAAGGAACTCTGGGCGGATCTCATCCATCCCTGGAGCCTTGCCACAGAGGAGCTTTTTAACCACCTCAGTGACCTCAGCACCAGAGATTTGAGAGGCCAACCCAAAGTTCCCAGACTATGCTTCCTCACTGGAAGACATGTCGGTGGGATTGAGGAGGTCTTCGAAGTATTCTGCCCACCGATCCACAACGTCCTGAGTAGAGGTCAGCAGCACACCGTCCCCAATGTAGATAATGTTGGTAGCGCACTGCTTTCCCCCCCGAGGCGCCGGATGGTGGGCCAGAATCTCCTCGAAGCCGTACGGAAGTCTTGCTCCATGGTCTCACCGAACTCCTCCCATGCCCGGGTTTTTGCCTCGGCGACCACCCGAGCCGCGTTCCGCTTGGACTGCCGGTACCTGTCAGCTGCCTCTGGAGTCCCACAGGCGAAAAAGACCTGATAGGACTCTTTCTTCAGCTTAACGGCATCCCTAACTGTTGGTGTCCACCAGCGGGTTCGGGGGTTTTCACCACGACAGGAACTGAAAATCCTGCGACCACAGCGCAGGAATTATATTTTTTCTTAAGTAAACATAGTTAAACTTTGTTTTAGGCACAGTAAGTATAACCATTATGACCTTGCTTTAACATAAAACCAGCTCATCTATGCAACATATAGATCATAGGAGGAAAATTAGCAGACAAAGTTAAACATTTATGAAACCTTAAAAAGTATTAACCACAGCCTTTAGACTCTGCCCCATCGGGTAAATTATGGGCCATTCCCATCTGTACCGGGTCGGCCCGGGCCGGGTAGCCCCAGTCGGCCCCAGCCTGGCACGGTTGATTCCACACATCCTTGTCTTAAGCCCATGTGGGCTGATTCTACCCACCAATCAGAGGCTTGCTCTGATGGAAGGTGTGAATTTGCTGTCAGCAGTGGGTGTGTTGGCCCTGGTCGGCCTGAAGCAGACCCCCTCGAAAAGAGGGCTGAGAATGAGCCTTGGTTGGCCCGGAAAAATACCAGGCCACCCAGATATGTAAACAATCTACGCTACCCGGCCCGGGCCGACCCGGTACAGATGGGAATGGCCCAATAGTGGGCTGTCTTTAGTATGACACCCTGTCAAATGAAAGACGTAGCTAGGGGGGTATTTTCCACCAAGGTGGATCAGGTCTGACTGTCTGAGACAAGCATCTACCCACAGCCAAACGAAAGGCTGTGTGAAGCCCCTACGCTCAGAGTCACATCACAGACACACTCAAACCGAAGGGAAAGTCCCACCGAAGATGGGCTCAGATGTTGTGAAAGTCCCCCGGCAGCACCTGCTGGGCAACTTTGGAAACTACACACAAGCCCAAAGGAGGAGTTTTTCTGTCTTTTACCTTAAAGTTTCCTTCATGGTTGTGGTACAGGGGCTTGAAGTACTCATTTGGCCTGGGGATGTATGTAATCATCCGGAGTTTCTTCTGCCAACACCTAAAAAAAGTAGAACAATGAATGGGATTTATGAGCAAATAAAGGCTTTAGCATCTCATAATCCAAGGATGTCCAAACGTTTCAAGTTAACAGTCCTCTTGATTAAAGAAATAAGTGATGTTTTAAATTTGCACTCCTGAAAGTTATTCCAAAAAAAAAAAACTGTAAAAATTCCAACATAAAAGTGTTACAAACTACCATCCTGCATTTGCTTGTGGACCGACAAAATTTATTTTTTAGAAATGCACGGGCAGTAGAGGGCGATATCTGACTAGGAGGGCTACAGTGAGAGCCAAAACATGTCAGCAAAAAGGTAAAAGCAAATTTCATTTACCCAAAAAATTTAAATCAGATAAGGAACATGAAATGAACGTAACAAAGATCTTCTCTAAGTTGTCTGGTAGCTCTTTCTGATTCGTGTGAATTCAACAGACAAGAGAGCAACGCCTGAATCTGATAAGTATGCCATTTATTGAGCCACTCCTCCCCTTCTGACATTCTTAAGGACCCCTCAGTTATTGTCAGGACTCTGACGATTCCTGTCATGTGTGGTGTGTTAAGAGTGTTCTAGTCTGCTAAAAAGAATGGGAAGATCACAATGCAGGGATGTCAAACGTGACGGATTACCTTGGTCTGATTTTGACGACAAACAAATGTGCTGCCCTTTTGAACGTGGCATGTAGCCACTCTGCTCTCTCCACCTGCTCCATGTTTGTTTACTCCAAAGTCATGTTTTATCTTGAGAGGTTTTGCGAGATTTCTCGTCTCACTGGCGAAAGTTGGAGAGTGAAAATCGGCTCATGTGTAGTTTTTATTGAGTTGTCACACACCCCACACTGTTGAACCAACTCAGGCCTATCTGGGATCTTTTAAAAGCTGTCCAACAATTTTTTCTATTCTGCTGTGTGAACAGGGCCTAAATCCAAACGCCATGAGCAACTCACTCTGCGGTTGTTGGTTTGAAACCTTCATCTAACATGGTAAAGAACCTTTTCTCATTTGCCAACACGACCTGGCCGAGAGGCCCTGGTCTAACGTAGTACGTTTCAAATGTTTTATGTGTTTGTGCTGGCGGGAAAAAAAGGAATTTTGCCATTAAAAATAAAAAAATACAGCATGAATTTAAACTTTAGAAACTTTTGAATAAAATGTATTCAAAAGCTTTAGTGTTCAATGGTTTTTTTTACACATTTTGTTAACTCTTGTTAGTTCCGATTTGTTTTATCTTAAAAGGTTCTACAGAAATAAACCTTCACTCACTTCCTCTCATTCCTGGCATCTTTCTGACTGCTGCAGGTAAGATAGTGACTGATTACAACTGCTCCATGCAAAGCCTGCCTCCGCCTACATCAAGATGAGGAATCTGAACTCCTGAATGAGTTTACATGACAGACCACTGCAATTGTCAGCACTAATGACAACATTAAACCTCCGAGACAAACGGGGCGTTGTGAGCTCTTCTCCAGAGGGATGATGGCATCATCACAAGTTTTTTTTAGGAGTTTTTGTTTTAAAACCGAGCTGTTCTTGGCTCTCTGAGGCTCTGTGTGACTTCCTATGACTGCGAGACACCTCAGTGCAAAGTGCCGCAGCACGTGCATCTCTGTCGTGGTTTATCTCTATGTGGGAGGTGATGCCAGGAAAGTGTTGAGTGATGCAGAGTGACGCCTTGCTGATCGTTTACTGGAAGCCATCAGCATCCTGACCTTCAGCCTCCAATCCAACATTCAAAGGGTTTCACTGCAGCTTGAAATGCAAAACCAGAACCGGGGTAGAAAGAGCCTAACAGATTTGATCTTGTCCTACTTTGACTGGAGTCATTCGATAAGGCAAAAGTGAGAAAAAGTGAAGATGCTGAATGTGCAGAATACAAAATCCTGGAAACCTTGACAGTACTCACGGTTTCTGTAGATATCCAACCAACAAGAGGGCGAGGACGAGGAGGATGGGCATGGAAACGTACAACCAGGTGACATTTATTCCTAGAAAACAAAATGAAACAAGAAAATGTTACGTTTGTTGAACAGAGTTTTGATCATGCAGAAACATTTATTTTTTAAACAATGAAGAAAAGTTGTTTTCTTACTAATACTTGTTTCTCTTGTTTCATTTGCAGAAACTCTCACGCTCCTCCATTCTACACCAGCACTCCACTCACTCCACGGGCCTTTAAGGTAAAACCCGGGGCTCATCTGGGCCTGAACGTCCACCGTGTAAACCACATCAGGCTGCAGCTTTCTGAGATCTATCAGAAGGTACTCTTCATCCACTGGAAACAAATCCCTTTGAACCTTTTAGGAACCAACATCACAAACTGGTTTGCATGGACAATTCCTGCAGAGAATTCAAACAATAACAAGTTCTAGCTCACCTTTTCAGTGTGTGCCGCTGTTCTTATGCGGACTTTGTACACAAGTTCATGAAACAGGTTGTTTTTACTCCAGGTGATGTTGTAGAATTCACCATCATTTGTCACTTTCACATTAACGGGAGCTTCTGGTTTCACTGTGAAGGATGAGAGGAAATTACAAGAATCCTCATGAGGGACAGCGGTTTTAATTTTAGCTCTCTGGAGGGTGAGCCGTTTCCAAACCAAACAGCGGAGGGAATCTACGGTAACCTGTGGAGGTTGCTCACCTGAAGGTTACTTTCTGACACAATTTTCACATCAGTTCTGCAGAAATGATAAATAGTGAAATGAGTTAACAGAACCTACCCATATCAGACAGAACCCAAACAGTTGACTCAGGGCCATCCACAGACGCATCACTGCCAAGATGGCCGACTGTTGTTGTGCAGTTCGTCCCAATAGTGGTGACTTCGTTCAGGTCCTCATTGACAATTGTGCACCAGCTCTGAGGTGGCGTGACTGTACAGCTGCCTCTGAAGTGTTCGTCTTCATCTCTATAAAAGAAATGAAAATGTTACAACTCAAGCGATTTAAAGAGCAGAACATTATAACAACAGAGTATTTTCATTTTTGGTTTGATCAGAATTTAGTTATGCTTCTGATAAATGAGGTTGCATCATCCATCACACTGGACCTTAAATGGCTTATGCTTGAAAAGGAATCATTGGTGAAGTTTTGAAATATTTTTATGTTTTACTTAAAAAATGTAGCCACATGAATGGCTTCATTTGTGATCTAAAGGTCACACTTCCTCAGCTGGGTCAAGCTGTCCTGGCTGCACTTCTATCTACAGATTATCCATCACAGGAGACTGAATGTCGGTCTACCACCCCTTTAATCTGACTGCCTTTATCTGACTGCTGTTCCATCTGCAAGATGGACACTTCAAGATTTAAAATAATCATTTTTAATAAACTCTTTTCACTGTCCTATTACAATGTTCATAAATAATCATCAAGGTTCATTATAAATGTATTTAATTTCTGAAATGAATTATTATTCTTTGGTAAATAATTATTATTATTTATAATAATCAGTAATGTTTAACAGTGACAGGAAGATGACTGCACTTATACACACCATGCAGGACACAGTAATCAGGCTAAGGTGAACTGCACTCACGTCTTTGTCACATGACAACCCAGAACTTTCTGCCTCTGAGAGGGCGTGTTCCGAGGTATGTCAAATCTACATGTCAAAATCTGATTTGTTAGAATAAGATTACCGGCCGTCTCTTAAAACCTAACTCCTCAGTTCAAGTTCAGTTCTTGAGCTCACCAAATTCTCTTCGAGGCGACGAGAGTCCAGAGGATCGAGTCGGCCGTTCGAAACCTCCACTAAAGCTTTTCTGTCACGCCGACAGAATTGCTTCAACAGAAACGCCATCTGCAGCACAAGCTGACGCAAAACTCCTTCAGAGTGTTGTATTTTGAGACGCAACCAGTTTCATCAGTCGTTGTGACCCAGAGACATCTCAGGACCGATTTGGTCGCACTACGGTTCCTCTACCCACCTCGTGTTTGGGGGTCATCATCTCCTCCTGACAAAAGGGGGTCTCCTAACTGGGTGAGGTAGACACTTCCGAAAGATTGCATATGAATGCCTCTTTAATTAAGAAATAATTTAGCTTAACTGCAAACCAAATTCTTTCACCTAGAACGCGTTTTTCTCTCTCTAAGATAAAAACCTTCTGAGACCTAATTCACACATCCAAACACACACACACACACACTTCATGCTTAGTTTCATCCAGACACAGATTGCTTTTTAATACCAAGTTTTTAATACCAAAGCTTTTATAAATTGTCATTTATGAATTGTCTTTTAAATGGTCATCTTTAAATTGTTAGTAATAAATTCTTAACTTTTTAAACCTGACTCTTCTTTGAAATAAAACACAGAGTGGTGTATATTTGGTCACTGAACGAGCAAAGATCTCTTTAGATCTTCTGAATTAATAAATAAACTTTTGCTATTAATATAAATCTCTTAAATTAAATATTAATCTTTTGATTAAATATAGACCAAGCCAGTTGGTGTATGAACTTCCTCTGATAATATAATTATCTGTGGATATATATGATATAACTTTCATTGCCAATTAGTTTGATCTTTCTCAGAATTTATCAAAGATGAAATAGCAACAGCGTTAAATTCTAGTTATGTAGATTAACAACGCTACATAACTGTACAGCTGCCTCTGAAGTGTCCGTCTTCATCTCTATAAAAGAAATGAAAATGTTACAACTCAAGCGATTTAAAGAGCAGAACATTATAACAACAGAGTATTTTCGTTTTTGGTTTGATCAGAATATAGTTATGCTTCTGATAAGTGAGGTTGCATCATCCATCACACTGGACCTTAAATGGCTTGTGCTTAAAAAGGAATTATTGGTGAATTTTTTAAATGTTTTTTATTTTTTACTTAAAAAACGTGACGCTACATTTGTAAATCCCCTACTTCAAAGGGGGAATTGTGGGTGTTTGTGCAGACGGAAATAAATCATTTAAATAATTTCTGTTTTTTCATTTTCAAAAAGGTTTTCAAAGCTTTCAGAGGGAGGCATCCTTTGAGCCTACACAATGTTTTTGTTCAGTTCAAGGTTGGAGTAGTTCTCACAGATAATGAGATAGAAAAGGTGTGAAATAATATTTTTTATATTTTAAGTTCAGGTGTGATGTTTTGCTTTAGTCTCTGAATTTTAACTTTAAAGAGAGAGGAGCTGAAACATCAGCGGCCCAGATTAGATGCAAACAGGTCCTCTAAAAACATGGCTTTGTTCAACTTTTATGTATTTAGTTTCATTCTCTTCAAATGATTATCTGGTCAGAAACCTTTAAAAATCTGAATTCTGTAGATCATCTCACGACACGTTGAATGGTGCTGACTCCAGAACTCCTGATCTGAGCCGCTTTCATGGAAACAAAGTAATGTTCGTGAGAACAAGCTGCGATGTGTCCTGGAATTGTGATTTATTGTGAATTATGAGTTAGGTGATGCTTGGCATTGACTCTGTCTAGAGTGGAGAGGCGTTGGTAGAAAGCTGTTAACAAGCTCACTGACCGTCCTTGAGGGGTTTAGGTGTAAAACTTCGAGAAGTTTGAAGCGAATGCTGCAAAGGTTTGCATTAACGAATGACACCCTCTCAGAACTGCGGCAAATGTGTGACAATTGCCTTTAAGCTAACTCACCTCACAAAAGCAACAGTTCTGCATTTAAATGGGATGAAAGGAAAAATCCTGCACTGTGCTTTCAGAGAGGATGCAAACACAGATATCTGGCAGTGCTCAAATGAAGGGTAAACATCTTTATCTCCAGAAAGAGAGAGGGTGTTTACCTGCAGATGACATCAAGTAGGACAGGAAGTGTTGGCACAGAGCCTGAGCAGGAGCAGTTTAGTGTCTTAATGTAGTCGGTGGAGCAGGTGACTTTGCACAAAGATGCAACTGCTGCAGAGGAGAAAAACTAGGTCAGCTGCAGAAGCTGCAGAAGCTCCAACAACATCAGCCTGATTGACTGTTGAATCAACCAGCATCCCATTCAGATAAAGGACACGCTTACTTTAGATTCAAATATTAAAACCTGAAAGATTAAATAGTTTGCCTAAAGGTAATTAATTGACCCAGTAATAATACATTTTATTCTATCGTGTATTTTTGTAACAATAAACCAGTAATAAATCAATAAAATTGGCTCTGCAGATTGTCCACCAGGGGGCAGTAGACACGCCTTGGACTGAGTATAGCAGGTTTCTGGTGAAGGTACTAATCCTGATGCTCCATCAGAGGCTTTAAGGCCAGAAGGAGTTACTGCAAATGAAGCTACATTTAAAAATAAGTGAGTTTAACTGAAAATGAGTTCTTAGGAAAGCTGATCAAAAAGGGATAAAACAAAAAACGTAACAGAAAGATTATCTTACCATTAAATAGAGTCAGAGGCCACAGAAGCAGTAAGAACAGAAGCTTAGGAGCCATGAGGATGACTCACTGATGTCAGCCAGCGCTCAGGCCGTGGAAACACACACTCAGACTGAATAAAGAGGTACAAGGTTAACTCAGGTCAGCCGAAACAGCATGTTACTGGAGGCTAAATGTAGCCAAAAGTTCCTCATTATAACATCTACAAAATATTTTCTATCATCTAAGAAATGTATTCACTTTTCCCCGCAGTCTTAACACAAATCAAACAGCAGTAAACACCATTAAATGAGCCAGACTTTAAAACCAGCAAAAATCTGAGAGATTAAAAGTCTTACCTGCTTTAAAATGAGAAGTCTACAGCTTAACAAGGGAAGAAGTTAACGGAGCGACTGACGCGATGAGGCGTGAACACTGAATGGAAGAAAAGTCAGGCAGCAATGTAGAGGCGTCACTGTCAGTTCGGTGACTCAGGATGTGGTTTCAGAGGTGCTGCGGTACCTTCCCACCACATCCACATCTCTACCATGAATATGCAGCAGCTCATCTGGCTAAATAAAAGGCAACAGGAAACTTGGTGCAAAGTAGCTCAGTCATTGTGTTTGCTTCACCTACTTTTGACTAACAAGATGGGTCATGAATGTTTGTTTTATTTGGTATATAAATAAATGCTGCATGTAGGAAAATACTTTGTTTTCTTTGTTTAACCCTGAAGAACAAATAAAGGACATGAGCAAAAATGTGCTAATAAATATTATGAAATATATAAAATGTCTTTGGCGAGGTCATTTATTTGTTGTCTTTTATACTCTTCTTTAATATCTCGTGTAGTTTACTTTTATTGTCCACTTCCTGTGATTCATCACTCTGGCAGCCAGACAACAAAACAGATGAAGATCACTGAGCTGCAGAGCCTTTAGTGTGCTGCAGAAGGGGTCTTTTCTTTATGATGTTTGTTGTTTTTAGTATTTTTTCACTAATTATGTAAAACTCTTATGCTTTTATTAAAGTCTCATCATAAAGATCTAAACAGGTGTATACTTGTTTTATTCTAGAAGGAAATAAAAATGTCTTCCTGTTTCTTTTATGTTTTGTTTTCTCAAATTTGCTAAATGTCGTTAAACACTTTTGACATAAATTCAGCATTGACAAAAAAATAGGTTTCATTACCTGATTTACCATTCTTTTAATCTGTCACCACAGATGCTTTTCTGACAGATTTAAAAAGACCCTGATCATCCACCTACAATATTATTCTAGCAGGGGATTTTGGTGTCAGAGTCTGTATGAGTCATCCTGTTGGAGAGTCAGGCAGCTTCTTTAAAATCAATGTAATCTAAACCATTTACTATGAACCCAGCCTTGTTTTTAGGAGATGATCTGATAAAGTTCTGATCTGAGAGGTGAAAACTTGTCAGAAACAGTAGAAAAGCTGGTTTATCTACACCAGGTGGGCTTCTAGGACTCAAACCCCACGTAGGCGTGTCTTCTTTTTGTTAAACGTTACGGTATCACAATTAGTCAGAGTGAAATATCACTCATCACACAAAAATTCAAAAGTGTAAATCATTCAGTGTTTAATGCAAAAACACAAACTTTATTCATAGCAGCATCATTCGAAATTTCAAAAGCCCTTTTTATAAATCAAATGCCCTAAAATATGAAAACAAATGAGAAAATCATCAAATAAGTCATTAAGACAACCAGACTGGGCATAAATCTGGTTTTCCTGATTTAATCCAAACGTCAGAAAAGGGAAAATGTTGGTTTTTTAACTGAGTATCATCAAATATGATGCAACAGTTTTCTAAAGATAACAATCTAACAGAGTCTCAGAGACGTGGTGTGAATTAGATTGTAGGTTGATGAGCGAGGCGTGCTTCTGCTGTCAGGCGCTTTGTGCTGGAATCGGTTCTGAACAGCTAGCATCAGTATTAATTTTACTGTAACAGGAACTGCGGCACAAGCAGTTTTTATAACACTATGGTGTTGTTGCTTCTTTCTGGCCAGATGTGGCAGAGCAGTGGATCAGAAAAAAGCCAAACAGCTTTATGAACACATGAATTATCGAGAAAATAAACGGATGTGATTAGATTTCTGAATATTTTTATTTAATTAACAACATCTGTCCACTGTTGATGCAGGAATGCTTGATTTTAATAAGAGTCTGAATGTTCCTCTTTAAAAAAAATCAGATTCGGATCAAATGCAGTGGTTAGCACTTTAGCACTGTTGCCTCGCAGCACGAAGGTCGCAGGTTCAAAACTCGCCTTTCTGCGTGGAGTTGCGTGTTCTCCCCATGCATGCGTGGGTTTTCTCCGGGTACTCCGGTTTCCCCCACAGATCACAACATGCCCTATAGGTTAAAAAATAATTGTAAGTCGCTTTGGGTAAAAGCGTCTGCTAAGCACATAAACATAAATGCAAAAGAAAACATTTTAGATAAGTTCCGTTTCACCTCCGTCCCATAAGTCATGGACACGCCTACAAGCCTAGTTATTAAAATTATTTCAGCCATTTAAAACTCAGATTCAGGTGTTTGATATTATGGTTGATCAGTGATTTTTTTTATTATTACTACTATTCTACTTGTTATTCTTTAAAAGATACAGCATCAGATCATGAGGAGTGTTCTGTAGAATTACATAATCTTTTGTCCTTCACAGCCATGTGTGTCTATATCAGATTTTAGATTTCCTCTCAAACAGGTTTTGTTGTGGTTCTTGGACCAATAAATACTGCACAGGTGTCCCTCAAGGATGTGTACTCAGTCCTTTGATCTTTACCCTGCTCCACATGACTTTACTACAAAAATTAACCTTAGCTGAAGTCCTGTGTTTATGTTGCGCCTTTTCAGATTCCTGATTATGCTCCACCTGTGTTTGGGTCATGCCTCGCCACACCAGCGAGGCTGTCGAACAGCGGCTCCACCTGTCCCCCAGACCACCACCTCAGATGTTTGCTGACAGTGGTGGACATGCCAGTGAGGAGAGAGGAACGTCATACAGGACGGAGAGGAAACTGTTAGTGAGCTCCTGTGGAGTCGACAAACTGGGGAGCTTGTTTTAGATGTCAGAGAAGAACCTGCACATTCACAGCTCCTTGCAGAGAAACGCAAATGCACACACTTTTTGGGTGTTGATGTCAGCGAGGAACTCTTCTTGACCCTCAGTCCAGGATTCTTTTCTCCAGAGACGGATGCATGGTAAAACTACCTCAACTGCCATTCACCATCCTTTACAGAGACACTTCTGGAAACAACATGGCCAGCTGCATAACTTCCTGGTTTCTATGGTAACTGTGGGACTGACAGGAAGACTCTTTGTCATTTGGTAAAAATGGCTGAAATTCAGGGGCCTAGACCCCACGAGGCAGCCAACGGGATTGAACAGGCAGATGCCAAAAATCATAAACCCCCTGACCCGGGAGCCACGAACACTCAGGCAGACCAAGGCACCACACCCCACACCAGGTGTGGCGGGGGAGGGGAGACGAAGATCTATATCATCAAAAGAAGTCCCAGGAGAGGGGAGGAGTCAAAGGCCCCACCTGACATATACAGTCATACACAAACACAGTCACACACTCCCTCCCCCATGCTCACACATGCACAAACAACCAAAGACTTACAAAAATGCACGCCGGACACCCACTCATGCTCCCCATACACACCCTATTCACTCTGGTCCCGGTACTGCTGCACATTGGGTACAACCATCACCGGTTACCAAAGTTTGACCCTTTCTGCTGGGGTGCTGATGAGCAGGCTCCCCCGCCCAACGCCGAGCACAGCAACCCACCACCCCAGACCCCAACTAGACGGCCAGATCTCCCTCCTAGCCTCCAGCCCCAGGAAGCCAAGCAACAACAGAGGTGTGCAAAGACCCCTAGTCTCCCTCCGCCAGCTCTAATATAGTGTTGTGTGTTGATGAGGTGTATTCCATGGCTGTGGTGAGCGGGCAGTGCGGGCATTGTCTGGCCTATGCCAGCTGATGCCACAGCACGGGTCTGGGTCCCTGGGCTCTGCTGGGTCCCCGGCGGGGGTGGTCGCCCCTGGGTCCCGGGTCGCTGGGTGCCGGGCTCGGCCGGCTAGGGGGTGGGAGGCTGCGGGCGGGCATGTGGGCTTGCCGCTGATATCTCCCGGGACTCTGCCGGCTGCTGGTTGTGGCCCCCCGGGGCGATCCTCTGTGCCTCTCGAGGGGGGCAGGGACCTTTCTGGTTGCAGTCTCCTTGGGGTTCCTGTGTTCTGGGGCAGCGCCTGGATCTCTGGGACTTGGAGCTCCCCCCGTCTCCTGCACATCTTTGGGGGGCAGATCTGTGGTCCCTCACTCTATTGTATGCTCCTATAGATAAACCTTACATAAACAAGCGCATGTACACACACAGGTGCTCACATGGTGCTCTCATAAGTATGGACTTGGGCACGTTCAACACATGTCTTAAGGCTGTCATTGCCACTAAATGCACTATGATTTATTATCGTGTGATTGTTCAGTTAAACAATGTTGTTTTTATATTTCATCATCAGGTTGATGCAGTGATAGTTTGCTCCTGATGTATTGTTGTGTGTCCCATTTTTTCTGTTCTTTCTCTTTCTGCAGGTCTAGAAGCAGACTCTTGTTCATTATTGTTTATTTTTGCGGACCCACCCCCACCCCCCACCCACCCACCACCACCACCCCCTTCCCCCCTCTCTCCCCACCTCTTGTGTTTTCCTTTCTCTTTCACCTCTGACTCCGTGTCTGGTCGGAATTGCAAAGCATTCAAAAACAATGACAATAAAGTTTTAAGTATCAGGTGTGACATTAAAAGCAGACGCTTTCATGCTCCACCTGAGAGTGAATCTGTAAGGCTTGTTACCAGCATTCAGACATCAATTCTGTTTGCTTCACAGCCAGACAGGACACGGTTAAAAAAATGGCTGAAATTCACCAGGGCCTCATTCCCCTTTTTAGTCTATTTTAAAAAAAAGACAAAATAAATAAATAAACTATTGCTGCAGATCCTCCTGGTCTGTTTAACCGCCTGACATCTGGTGGAAAATACCCCAACATGATAACAGAAACAACTAACCTCATTCCCCAGGTGATTGATGATCTCGTGGTACTCTGAACACAAAACTGGACAACAGAAATGGAGTTTCGCTTTATTTATAATTGGTTTAAGAGTAAAATGAAAGGAATACCATGTATTGTGTTGTCTCATGGATAAATATGAATGTAGGTCATGAAGTGATGTTGTAGACCACACAGGAGATACATACAAAGCTTTTATTGCAGTTTGTTGTAATTAACATTTCACTCATGTCATGCTGTAACAGGTGTGTTTGTTATTGTTCCTCTTTGTTCAGGTGACTTCAGTTTTTAATGAAGTTGTTGTAATTTTAGAAGATTTGATACCAGGATGTTCCTAA